AGGCCCGGTGCACAAAAATTTGTGCACCGGGGGAGGGGTCTAACATCCCGGCCTGTGCCCTGTCGCAGTCTGGGACCCCTCGGGGATGACAACCTGCTGGCTTAGGCCCGCTCCTTGGGGCATTGGGCCTAAGCTGGCAGTCAGACATCCCTCTGGCAGCCCGGGAGCCTTCGGGGGATGTCCACTTGCCAGCGGGGAGCAGGCCTAAGCTGCAGTCGGACATCCTTAGCGCTGCTGAGGAGGCGGGAGAGGCTCCCACCACCACCAATGTACTGGCAGCTATCAGCCTGGCTTGTGGCTGAGCAGAGCTCCCCCTGTGGGAGCGCACTGACCACCAGGGGGCAGCTCCTGCATTGAGCATCTGCCCCCTGGTGGTCAGTGTCATAGTGACCAGTCATTCCCAGTTGTTCTACTGTTAGGGTCAATGTGCATATTACCCTTTTATTATATAGGAGTGCCTGGCCAGCCTGGGTGAGGGGCTGATGGCTGTTTGCAGGCTGGCCACAGCCCCTTCAGGGTGGGGGGTCCTGCTGGGTTGCCTGGCCAGTCTGGGTGAGGGGCTGAGGGCCGTTTTCAGGCTGGCTAAGCCCCCCAGTGGGGACCCTCACCCCATGAGGGTGTGGCCATCCTGGGTGAGGGGCTGATGCCTGTTTGCAGGTTGGCCACGGCCCCCAGCCACCTAAGCTCCCAGTGGAGGCTGGCTGGAAGCAGGTATCTGGGATTTATTTATCTTCTATAATTGAAACTTTGTTGCCTTGAGCGGAGCACACAGCCAGCTCAGGGCAGGTGGGAAGCTTGGCTTCCTCCATCGCCCGGGCAACCAAGCCTCCTGCTTGCTCCAGCTCTGTGGCTGCTGGCCGCCATCTTGGTTGGGTTAATTTGCATATAGTCGCTCTGATTGGCTGGTGGGTGTGGCTTGGGGCATAGTGAAGGTACAGTCAATTAGCATCTTTGTCTTTTATTAGTGTAGACTAGTAGAAGTATGGTGCCAGGTGGGTACTGGATATATCAGGGGACCACTTGGTAGAGCATATGATTATCTAACCACTATGCTATACACCTAAAACTAATACAAAATAATAATGAATGTAAAGTGTAATTGGAAAAAAAGATTTGTGCATTTTATGTAGTTACACCTCAATAAAAATAAAGTGGAGCAAATAGGTAGTTGGCTATATTAAAGATGAATCCTGGCTATACCATCAACTTTGTCCTCTGGATGTCAATTATGTTCCTTTTTCTCCTACCCATAAAAAGGGAGAGTCTACCCGACTGTTTATCATACAATGAGACCACAATACAGGTTCCCCCAAACCCATAAGGGCTGGAATAATTGCTCAACGGAATTCCCTCTGGAACAGTGGGAGAAAGGGCCATCCTATGATGACAGGCTTGTTTATTTTATGGAACAACAAAGGCTGCCATAATTGAAAATCCAATTTCCAAGAGAAAAAAAGCAAACTAAATATTAAAGAAAATTATGCAATACATTAAAAAAACCAATTTCCCATCATAAGTTTTCATCCATTTCTATTGCATCCATTTCTGTTATTTTTACACAAACCTAGATGGTATAGCCTACTGCACACCTAGGCTGTATGGTATAGCCTGTTGTTCTTAGGCTACAAGCCTGTTCATGTTACTGTACAAAACATGAGTTAAATGAAGCACAGAGAAGATGATGTAATCAGACATGCGGGAAACATGAGATAGTGAGGCTGCTGCCAATAAAACATGGCACACTGTTTTACAACAACATTTTTAACAAATAGAAGGAGTACCCTCTAAAATGATGATAAACAGTGTAGTATAGTAAATACATAAATCTGTAGTCATTTATTACATTATCAAGTGTTATACACCAGCGGTAGCCAACCTTTCGGACCTCACGGACCACCGGTTGGCAACCACTGTTATATACTGTACCTAATTGTATGTGCTGTACTTTTATATGAATGGCAACTCAGCAGGTCTGTTTATACCAGAAGCACCACAAACACATGAGGAATGCGTTGTGCTGTGACCTTACAATGGCTGTGAGGTCACCAGGTGACAGGAATTTTTCAGCTCCATTATAATCTATGAGACCACTGTCATATATGTGGCCTGTCTTTATCTATCTATCTATCTATCTATCTATCTATCTATTTATATATTGTTAATCCTCACCTGAGGATATTTTTCCATTGATCTTTTAGAGAGAGTGGAAGAGAGGGAGAAACATATTGATTGGATGCCTCTGGCACGTGACCCAACCAGGGCCTGGGCCGGGGAGGAGCCTACAACCACGGTAAGTGCCCTTGATCAGAATCGAACCTGGGACCCTTTGCTCTGCAGCCAATGCTGTGTCCACTGAGCCAAACTGACTAGGGGTGTGGCCTGTCTTTAACCAAAACATTGTTATGGGGGCATGACT